CAACATCTTGAAACCTGTCTGAAAATGTTTTCTAAACACTCATGCACTTCCTTCACACTTTTCTGCTAGCCACATGCCACCGACTACAGAATGCACAAAGGTCCTAGAGGAAGACAGAAAACTGAGGGGCCTCAATGGCAATATGGAATGCAGCTAACCCTTCTGCTTAACCCACTACTTTATATACTATTGTATTTTCTGTATTTTTTGCATTTTTCTACTCCTGTCATTGGTCACATAAGGAAAAAACCTCAAATAGTTTTCAATTTCTCTCCATTATCAATTATTTGACAATATTCATTCAATTTGAGTGTAGTTTAACAGAAAATATTTCGTGGTTGACATTATCCCAAAATCATATGTATTGTGTCATTGATAAAATGTATAAGCACTAAAATAATGTTTTTATAGGTTGCCAAATGTATATTTCACTTTTTAAAATGCTTAACAGAAGTTAAAACAGACTTTTGAATTACCATACAAGAGAGTGACAAGATTTCCTTTGTATTGCTGTTACTTATGTTTTAATAAACAATACAAAGCCAAAATTGGAAAAGAAAATGTCTACAAATCCATGAACACTCTTTAGTCAAGGAAACAACCCACAACTGGTATACGAATGCATTTGTGAATCATGAATCAATGATAAAAATAGAAATGGTTTGCATCAGATGTCTGCCTTTGTTACAGAGCCCTATAAATACATTTAGTACATTAATCTCTACTTTGAGAGAAAAACTAACATTAATCGAATAATCATTTGGGGTCAAGTGCTTTACATCATCTTATTCAGCCCACACAGTCACTTTATGAAGTATTTTCTTTTTATCAATTTCAGAGAGGAAACACCTTAGTAAGAACTTAATTTGTATCTGTAATGCCTTGAAGGGACCCCAGTGTCCTTCTTACTTACCACATTAATTTGAACACATTATTCTCTCTAAAGCTTTGCATACTCTCCTTGTTTACACCTGTGTATGAAGTAGTTCCCTACTGCAAGGAACAACATGGCCAAAGCAGCTATGATTGCTTTATGGGTTCCTACATCATGATAGACATAATAAGTCTAAAACTCTATAAACACTCATCGGTTACTACAGAGGCCATGCTGACAGATGGTCATTTCCTTTGTTGGGATCATTTCAGAACCAGTCTCCTTCCTTCCTCTCTGTAAACCCTAATTTTCAAACTCCAGTTATTAAATTATATTCCTCATTATATTCATTGCTGCAGCCACTTTGTGACCTTACAATTAACTTTCCTTATTTCTCAACTATCTCAGCCCCTATCTAAACTGTCATTCTCTTTACAGTCTATACGATCTATTTGACAATTCCAATATGGAAGAATGGGGCCCTTTCTAAACTTGCTTGACCTTCTTGTCTCTAAACATCTTGTCACCCACCTAACCTGAGCTAATCAAATCAAGGTCATTTCGTTCCAGACTTAAAAATTATTAGGAATGCCCAGACACCTATCCTGTGTGTCTTACATGTCCAGCTCTCTAATGCTCATCATTCTTCTTTGTAGCTCATTGGCTCTAGGATGTCCACTCTATTAAGATTTGTCCTGACCAGCCCTTTTAATCTAGTACTCTTGTGTATTACTCAATGTCCCCAGGCTTTTCTTTACTAGGCAAAATTACAATCCTGCATCACCTTTTCAACAACTATTGAAAATTTACTAAGGCAAACACCTGACTAAATAACTCTATGGTGGGAAACTATTGCAGCTCAGATACAGCAAGGAGGGGCTAGGCCCTCCCCCAAATGATATGATGGACTTTGATGGTCCCCTGTGGAGGGTCTCACTATCCCTGGGGAGGAGGTAGGGAGTGAGTTGGGGTATCAGTGGGAAACATTGGAGGATGGGAAGGTAAGGGAATGAGGAGATGGATATGTAAATATGAATGCCTCTAAAATAAAAAGAAGAAAAATGAAAGTCAGAAAAAATATCAGTTAAGGAACCATTAGAAGACTACCAAACATTCACGGAGTTGCTGTATCTCACTAACACACATATTTTGTTACACCCAAAATGGTGTACCCTTCTCCTTTATTTTTAAGCTTGCAGCCCTCATCCTAATATTTGTAGTTAAAAAAAATCTGCTTATTTTTTTACTCCATTGATATCTCAGAAATTTGCAGTCACGTGTATCAACCCACAATTTTCCTCATATCTGTACTGTGTTTGCTTACATACTTTGTGAGATAAGTAGCATTTACCTCACAAAAACTCCACTGTTCATTAGCACAATTGTCCAGCCTCTATTCAAGAACCATCAATTGGAAATATCCCTTTTAATCTTCATCATTTTTCATTTTGCATCATTTTCATTTGCAGCAAATCAAATATTATTGTATCTCTTATTAAAGAACACCAATTTCCTCACTAGTTGTGATTCTAATCATCTCCCTTTTGTGGCCATCTATCTTGGGACCTTTCACTCTACTCAGTAACACCAACTTCATTCCTTCTGTCTTTCCTTATCCTCTGAATTCAGCTTTGTCTCCTGATCATTACTCTAAAATGATACTTGTCATGTTCACCAAGGACCACTAAAATGCTAGACCCAGGGGTCACTTTTTGTTTCATCATAAAGAACTCACCAACAATAAGTGCTGCTCTTGGTATAGTTTCTTACATGGGCTTTCCTGGCACTAGTATTCTGGCCCTTTTTGGACTATGATACTATTTTTTCTCTTCTAGGCCATTTAATATTGCAGTTTCCTAGAGTCCCAGCCTCTGTCCCCTTCACATTTCTCTGCATGTCTACTCCTTCATGATATGCCTTTCAATAACAGCAGAAGGCCCACATTGCTCCAATTTATATTTTTCTATCATTTGCCTATAAACTCGGTTTTTTTTTCCTTTGGATGGGTTCTAGGGATCAAACTCAAGTCCCACATTTTTATACCAAACTGTTGTTGAATAAGCTATCTGCCCAGGTGAAATATAAAACATGCATTTTTAAACATACATCTCATGATTAAGCAATGAGTTTGATACTATCAGAGCAAGAGATACCAGCACTGCAGAAAGTGATAATTATAAATGGAATGAAACAGATCATTCCACAAGTAACTTCAAAACACACCATGCTTTATTCTTGAAAATCCATTAGAGACTTGGAGATAAAAGTATAAGTATGAACAAAGTGGAGATAAAATAAGCCATTAAAAGTTTCTCAAATTAATTCTCAAAATAATTCAAGGACTGACTGCATGCTTTAGAAAACCCTTATTCTTTCCATTAGCTGATAATCAGAAAAACATGAGGACACACAAAATCCAAGCACTCCATCTCAACATATGCAGTATTTTTCATTCTGTAATTGATTGGACTTTTGCTCTGTGTATTACACTTTGAAATCAATGAATAAACAAGTAATAAAAGTACCCTAGACAATAAAATGCTAATAATGAAGATGCCTAAAGAAAGCGCAGTAATCATGAATAACAAACTTTAAGTGCTCAAGTGATATCATTAGACTCTTCATATTTCTAAAGATCTATCTAATCAAGACTCCCCTGTGTACAGATGTTATATTTAACAGATAAAAGGACAATTTTCATTACAGTGAAACTCTGAAATGTAAAACAGCTTGACATTTTTGATTCACTATGTCGGCATATCATGTTCAAATAGACTTTATTCTGTGTGGTTCAATAAAAACTTTTATGATTTCAAAAGAACACAGTGCTTTAGAAAGATTGCTCAGAAGGAGCAAGTGCTCCACACTGTCGGGAAAGGCAAAGTTTGTTTTCAAAACAATAAACAGTCCTCATTAAAACTTTTATAAGCTAAAACCCCTGGCTAGTTTTCCTGCAAGCACTTCACACTCTTGTGTTTTTATTTGGTCACTGTATGCTCATTTTACATATTCATGTATACTCATATGCACTGTGACACACACTTGCCTATTAATGAGTTACATCAGACATTAGTAGTTATTGAGGTCCACTTTAAAATGGATGGATAATTCACTTGAAACTGACCATTAAACCCCAACTTAACTGCTATAGAAGTATAAATGAAATCTAAATTTAAAAACCTATTCCTCATTAGAACCCAGGACTGCCATGACAAAGGACTTTCTAGTATTTTATACTGGTCCACATGTACACTGAATGAGTGTTTTATTATACACATGTTGACATTGATGATTTTTGCTGGAATAGGAGATTTTAAAGTGACCCCAATTTCAATTGCAAATATCCCTGTCTGCATTGGAATCATTTCATCGTTTCCTATATATTTTAAATTATTTACTTGCAAAGACAAATAAATAAAATGAATTCCAATGGACCTTCTAGGCAGAAGAATATTATACATTGCACTTGTTCCAAAATAACTTATTTGCTTCTTTTAAAGTATGGCTTATATGTACTGTGGTAAATATGCATATGAGAAAGAAAAAATCTATTATTCTGTACTTATTCTTTACTTTGCTTGTCACATAAATACCACAAGGAAAATAGTAAAGTGGAAAATGCTAATTAAATTTGTGACATCATCTGTCTTTTCACATGGAGACACATAGTTTTGTACCATAAACAAAAATCTGGTTGGAAGAAAATAGTTTCTTAGGTTCTTTTATGTTTTTATGTTCATGAGAATTGCCTCTCATGGATTACTCTAAAATCATAGATCTTGCTTTCCCTATCACTTGCATCCCCTGCCCATCTACTTGGACAGTATAATAGGCTTCCTCCTAGTTAAGTACATCCTTACTAAGTACATCTGCACATTTCAGGACAATCTTACCTTCATCCATCTAGTCTGTAAGCACTGACTGGATCAACAGATTATTTTAGAAACCCACTCTATCTGAAGAACACTGAAATAAACTTAGTGGGTCCAGAAGAAGAAAGTTTTGTTTGGTTGGTTTGTTTTATGGTTTTACTTAACTTAAATGTAGAATCCAAATGTCTAGTGCAATGGTTTATCTATCTTTGCAATCATAGTCACCTACTCTATCTCTTTCCTAATATGCACAGGAAGAAGCATGAAACCTATTTCAAGAACAATTTTACCAAAAAGAACATGTAAAGCAAGGCACAAGGGAAAATATCATGGGACTTAGAAAAACCCTCAACTAAAATACCTATGACAGGAAAGCATAAGCAGTGGTATACTGGGCTTAGATGCCACTGTTGACCACCTAGGGAGAATCTTGGAGCCTGGGAACATGAAAGCAGAGTGGTTATTAAAAGAAACACAGCCGTTTACATTTAACAATTTCTACTGATATTATTGAAGCTGATCATGAGGCAAGTGTAGAAGACTTTCCTAACATGTGCAAAACCTTGGGTTCAATTTTCAGGACCATCACATAGATACACACACACTCCTCTGTAGCTGTTATCCAGTTTAGCTATATCTCAGGCCCTTAAATAAATCCTGCAATGCACTGGATGTGTCCTCATTTTAATTATTTTTATTCCTTTTTATTGAACATTCTTGACAATTGAATAAGACAGGGTTTTTAAATAAGGAAACTATGTTTATCACATGTTCCCCAATAAGCAGGATGTATGCTTATGTATGCTTATTTAAGCTTTCATATAAACACGGTTTCCCTTAACAAAATTATCTGTAGAAGAGCTTGTTTGTGCTTTCTTAAATGTAAGCATTTCTATGAAAGAGGAAACAGCTATGACTAAAATGAACCAAGTAATTCATCCATGCTCTAATGTAGGTTATTTGAGAGTGTTTGACTAATAATATGGCAGTCTCCACTTTACAACTGCCAGGGGATGAAGAAAAAGATAGCTAAACAAAGCATCCATAGCAGAGCCCTGGCTAGCTAACAGAGCCATTTAGTTGCCTCAAATCTGTATTCCTTGCAGAAAGTAAAGTGCCCCCTCCTAGCTTCTGCTTCCTGGGTGGTACAGTGACTGTACTTGACAGGGACTTGACCTTCAGCTGTAGTATGCAAGGGGTCATCTCCACATCTATTCCCTTTCACACCCATCTTGGAGAATGGGTTCTGAACCATGACATTATCTTCCTTGGAAAGGGAAGTCTAAGAAAGGAGCAGGGCTCTTTATTGAAGCACAGATTAAAATTTTATACCTGAAGTGTTTACACACTAGGGACATCTATGATAGCTTGCTAGAATAGGGTAATTTCATCAAACTTCTTGTACTACTCAACTTGGTACTGCTAGAGTTTCAAGAAGTGGTGAGAAACAGACACTCCTGACCCCGCTGCGGAGCGAATGAACACAATAGAATATCTGCACATCTTCGGATGTCGCCTGCATTGTCTAAACTCTCAGTACAAGATGTAGAAAAAGACAAGTGTAGATTCAGTAAGTCCCCGAGTGATTCAACTCTAGGCTCTCAGAAGGTAGGTGTTCTATTCCTGACCTTGTTTGGAATGAATGTCCAACATTTATCATCTCTAGCAACAGTTATCATCTCTCTATTAAGAAAACATATATTGTTAGAATCACACGGGAACTATTCCAAATAAATGAGAGAATAAATGGGGGAATAAATCAACTAGTTGTATAGCTATAACATTTTAATTATTCATTTGTTGCCGAAGTGATATCGGTGTCTCGGATGGTTAAGTATTTGACTATTTAGGTTAAAATTCTATGACTATTTTACCACTGAAGTTTACAGGAAGTAGGTTTAAGAATTCCTGTAACTGGAATTGGAGAGATGGTTCAGAAGATAAGAGAAGTTGATGCCCTTGCAAAGGGCCTTAGTTTGTTTCCCAGCACCCAAATGGCAGCTCACCAATATCTGTAACTGAAGTGCCAGAGTATCCAATGCCCTCTCTGAGCTTAATGCATGAGGCACACAAGCAGTGTGCATAAACATGCAAACAAAGATTTAAGCACACACAATAAAACTAAATTAAAAGAATCTGTGTAATTATTCTAAACGCCCTGTGTTGTCACATGTACTTCTTACAGAGCTATCCATTGCAACAGAGAATCATCATAAAACTACCTTCAAAATCTAAGTAACAAGGATGTTATCTTAAGAACTCAATTTCATTCTATCTTTCTGTAGCAAACAAGCTTTTTTATTATAATTCACTCAAAAGGAATTCAAGTGTTTCTTTTTTTATTTACATGGTACTTTATAATGTTATAGTGTTCTGGTATGCTAAGATTTAAAGTGGGAAAGTATGCTTTGTAAATGTGTTTGAATCTAACCCTCAGACACCATCTCCCAATACATGCAGTGTTAGAAATTTTTGCTAACATGAACTTTGCTTAATATTAATAGATATATCTTCTGAATGTAGGAACAAGTGCTAATATAAATGGACACGGTAAGTTAATATGTTCTTATCCCTACAATATTAATAACCATAATACAATCTGTGGGTTGTAGTCTGGAAAAGTTAATTTCTTTCTAGACTACTGCTGTAATATTTCTGTAATTCAAATGGTGCCATTATAGAAAAAAATCATAAGATATGTTCTTAGATATGGAGCTTGTTGAGTTAGGCTGCACTTCTATAAATGGTGCTGAATGTCTAAGAATCTGCCCATACAGTGTCCTCCATTTCCTGTGGTAATTGGCTGTAATCAACTGCAAGGGGCATGATCTGAGGAAAAAGTGGAACGAAGCCTTCATGGGAGTAAGCTAACTGAAACTCACTGATCTTTATAAGCCCTTTCCAATTGAAACAAATAGAATTTCAGCTCACCCTTGAAATGGGCCTCCTTAAAGAACTCAAGAAATGTCTTACTAACACCATTTGCAGAAACTTCACTTGGCTCAGTTTTAGTTTTCTTTAAATCATCCAAATAGCTCCCAGTTCAGATGCAGTCCTGTGTCCCCACACTCCTTGGACAATGCCTAGAGGATGCAGTGAAGACTAAGTCTGCAGGATAAAAAAGGCTATTGAGAAGATTGCCTTCAGTAATTCTTAGGCATACTGATCCACATAAAGCAAAATACTATGCAAAGCAAAATGATTTTAAGTGTATCATGTTTATATGCTTTGCTAATATTTCCTTATTTAGTTTTAAGCATTTGGACCAGGCTGCTGTTCGCATATTATTAGGTGGTCTTGTGTAAGTCTTATTCAAAGCACCAACAACTGGACATAATTTATAATTTAGGATCTATACAAAAAAATACATCAGTGAATTATTTTTTCCATAAAATCAACTGAAAGTAACTAAGCCATGAAGTAACAGAGATCATTGGCTTTTTTGTTTCTGTTTTGTAGGATTCAGCACATGGCCATCTAAAGCAGGTTTTTATCCAAAGTTTTATGAAAGACTCTTTTAAAAGAAGTCCCAAGCTTGGATGCCAGAGCATTAAACATTCAGTGAAGCATTTTAGGGAAAAGTGCAGGGTGAAAGGCTCCAACAGCCACTCATTCACACCGGAAACACTAAAGCATTACATTAAAAGCTGGCTGCACTGCTGACTTCCTTACATTTAATAAAAAGCCTTCGAAAAATGTCAGCTGTGTCTACCTATTTTTCTCTTACTTGACACAGTCTTCTTAAATTGGATTGATAAATGTATTACCGGTTTTTTAAAACATGAATAAAATACATGTGGAATAATGCATTATGTCTTCCATTTGCAGACACTTAAAAGACGGCTTTGATATGTTGGAATAACTATTAATCATTGGCTTAAAGTTAGTTTTCTTCTTTTTTCTTATTCTTCATGTGAATATGTATTTTCTTTGCTATTCAGGGGTAATAATTGTTATTTTAATTTGGTAGAGCAATTGGGAGCTGCCTTTGAAGCTAATCAGTTTAATTTACTAATACCGCTGTGGTAAGTTCTGGAGATAATTAATGGTATTCAATAATACCACGTTTCAGAGAGAACTGGTGAAGATAAAGACCAAAGGTTAGGAAAAGGGGGATGTGGGAAGGAATTTGCAACATGCTTAGCCCAGTAAAGGGGGTGAAAATAGGATTAAAAAAACCTGAAAACCAAATAGGAAAATAAGACAGGAATAAATTTTAAATAGGAGAACAAAAGTGTGTAGGGTGGAAAGATTTACGTGAAGAAAGTGACATAGTCAAATTATTTAGAATGTAAATACTAGAATCTACAGTACTAAGTACCCAAAGTGTACAGTACTAACTAAAAACCCAGAGCACAGGGTGATTCTGTGGTTTCCTTAAATAGTTTCCCTATGTCCACTGAATCATAAGACAATTTATCAGGATGACAATTTCTCTAAATTTGACAAATTTCTATGTTATTTCAGAAGATAAATTATAAGTAGAGTTCCTGCTTTATAATCATTGTTAATTTCACCAATTACTTGTAGGGTTATGAAAGTGAAGACAAAACAAAATCACTCATGTCACTACTCTAAGTAATAAATAAAGCATGATGCTAGAAAAACCACCCTTCCTCATAGCACTGAGAGTACATGAAAGACTTAGGATCTCAGACAAAGGAAAATTCACTTTTTACAGCTACCAAGCTACAGCGGCACAACCACTGAAAATAATATTTTGAAAATAATAATAAACAAAAAAGCAAAAGACCTTAATGGTAATCTGTTAGAATTTTAAATTATGTGAAATGACTAAATTTTAAGGCAAAATATTAATTTGCTTGGAAATGACTATCTGCTTTCAGTAATAAAATGAGGAGGTTGGATGCCATGAGCATGCAAATTGAGCCAAGTTTCTCCTGAAAAGTTGCAGGCTATTGTGACTGTTAAATTCTCCTAGATACAGCAAGTTGAAGCAGGAAAACTTTACTTTCAATACTCATGAAATTATTTTAAAAGAAAAATCATGGTCCATCAAACACAATCTTCTACAAAATATTTATTTACTGACTAATAATCTTATTATTTTAGACTCCTAGTGGGTTAGAATCCTACTGCCCCATGTCAGTGCTATCTGGGTGTGAATATGGGATTGACATGGTTAACAACATTTGTTAGTAATGATCAATTTTTAAAATCCTCTCTGGAGTGTTGAAAGACTCACATATTCTTTTAGAACACAAGCCTAAAAAAATAAACAGCCTATCTGTATAGGCTGTGCACCTGCTCAGTTATTCTGATATTTCACATTCTAAAAGGTATTCATCACTTGCCTTTGATGTAGGAATTCACAAACACAGCCTCCAGTGTCCTACCCCCTCATTTCAGCAGCTTTTACTTGATGAGAATGACTATATTGAGAACAGTAATACAACTAATACTTACTGATTATTAGGTGTCAGACACTTTTATAATTCAAAACAGATTCATTTTCCACACAGCATCCATCTAGAGTAGACACTGTATGATCTTCAATTTATATTGTCAGACACTAATACGCAGAAAGTTTAAGCAAAGTGCCCAAATTTTGGAATCAAGAATAAGTATGTGGGGCTCCCACTTAGGTAGTAACATTGTAGAAATTGGGTTGATTATGCTATAATAGAAACCACGGCAGTAGAAAGGGACAATTGCCAGGGTGAGTGTATGGGGAAGCAACAGAGAGGGGAACAGCAGAGTTCAGGAAATCTGATCTGGGAAAAAAATAAAGGGTGGGTGATCTAATTAGAAAGAAGGGAAGGAGATAAACGTGTAAGGAGAGAGGAGGGTAAAAAAAAAAGTAAGGATGTCTGAAAATGTCAGAAGGAGTCATACTAGTAAATATATACTTAAAAACTACAATACACAAAAGACTGTATACATAATATACATAAATAATTTAACGAAATTCTCTCATCTGGGATGACAATGTTCTCTCCAAGAGCCAAAGACCAGGTCACAAAACCCAATAGCAGGAATGAGAACATTTTGTGAGTTATGGGTCAGGGTTTCCTAAGAGTCTTCCAGAACATTGCAGGCAAATGCTATTCATCCCAGGAGTGGAAGTTATTGCTGAAGATAAGATGCATTTCAGACACAGGGACCAGTGGTCGCTGATTTGGAATAGATTGGAAAGCCTCCTCCATGACGATTACCTTTCATGGAACTAGAAAGTGCAAACTTCCAAAGGAGGGAAGCAACCAACAGTCCTACCCATTGATATGATGTCTATGAGCAAAAATGACCAGCAATGTATGATAAGCCTAAGTATTGATATGTATACCTTGGTGGTAATCAATAGCTCTCTAATTGGATATAAGACTCTCTCGCCAAGAGAGAAGTAATGGCTACTACTGGAATTCTAGCTAACTACACAGGGCTAGTGAAATCCTGGACGCTGGAGGAGAAGCTAAAACGGCCACTTTACTAAATCAGCATAATCCTTAACTATGCTATATTTCTTTGCTTTACTTTTTTCCTTCTTTTTTTTTTGACATTTGGCTTTTTGCTTTTGGCATTTTGAAAACAAGGTATCACTATGTAGCTCTCATTGTCCTGAAACACATTATATAGACCAGGCAGACCTCAAACTCACAGAGATCCGCCTGCCTCTGCCTCCTAAATGCTGTGATTAAAGGCATGTCCCACTATGCACGTCCTTATGCTTGTTTTATAATGACAAATAAAGCAAACTAACAAAGGAGAAATGGTTCTCAGGGGAAAATATCCTTTAAAAGAGCATATTGTTATTCATTTCCAGATGTAATTTAAATATTGAAATGAGCTACTTTTAAAGCCCTGTGTAACAGGAATAATAGACAGTATGGATCCTTCCTGGTTCAGTTTGCAGAGACTTGGCAAACCCTTCCTACAACTGCTAACTATAGAAATTCACTGGTCTTTTAAAACTCCTAATTGTATGGAAAACAGCTGAAAGTAATTCTTTCCCTGCCTAGGCAGAATCAATTACTCAGCACCTTGAAAGACCAGTTTAAAAGTAGTTTAAAGACTTTTATTGAATCGCTGTACATTCAGGAGCTCTCAGAATAGTTTGTCCACTGTGACAAAGGACTTGAGAAAGCACTTCGAGAGAGTAAGAAAATATTAAAAAGCCAGAGGACAATGTATCAGATTTCATGGTATCAGACCAAATCCCTTCATTTCCTACTACATTTTAGTATGAAAGAACTTCCTTTAAAATTTATTATATTTCTCATTTTCATGCATAAATTCTTTGGGGAATTAACTAATTATGAAACAGCAAGGAAGATTCCTATTAAGATTCTAACTCACAAAGTATGCTTGAGTATAAATACATGCTAAGTTAGTTATGTTTTCATTATCTGGCAGTTTCATCTTACCACATGATGTTATTTTATTTCCATGACAGTAGATTGCACTAGCCCATTACCTAGATTAAGGGGATTCCTAACTGAATTATGGCAAGGCAAATAAGGAACCAATTGAACAATTCATAGCAACAAATTTTTATGGCATTTCCCAGATGACTTTAGTGAAATAAAATTGAGATAAGTTAAAAAGTACTAAAAACTGTGTGTCACAACTATTAAATGCATTCTTATCAAAATATCATCTCTTAGAGTGCATAATTTACATGATAATGTGTGACTCAGATTTCAGCAGCTATTAAGAATCTCAACACTACATGAAAATTAAAGATTATACTTATGTCTCTGCTTCTTATGAATGCATTCAGACAATTATTTTCCTATTATGATGCTAAGGACAAAATATGAAAAGGAAATACAAGTAACCTTTAGAATTTAAACTACCATTTCTTCATATTTATCTCCCGTGGTTCTTTGTTTTTGAGATATATTTCATGCTCTGCTTCATTCATTATTTAAGACAAAGTTTCCTCTGGAGGTCATAATTCAACATGTCTATTCCTTCACAGTGAACTCGAATCCCTGCTTACATGAGAAATAGATGGGGTAGAGTTTTCCCTTTGTCATCTCCTAGCTGAATACTACTTGGACAATTACTTTATCTCCAGAGCCACCGAGGTTTTTTTTTTTTTTTTTTTTTTTTTTTTTTTTTTTTTTTTTTGTCTCTCTGATATGAGATGTGTCTACGCCAATAGGTTTGTTCTTAAAACTACACGAGATGTGTAGCTCTTAGTGAGACATGAATGCTTGAAAAACACCACCAAGTATTAGATAAAAAGTATCCATAAATTTGACTCCATGTGAGTTTTGGAAATCATTTAACATAATATTTCATAGGAGCGCTGCAGTAATCCACACAACTGAAGAATGGAAATTCTGTCTTGTTTGAGTTATTGAGAGTAGTCACTGGTTTCCAATTGAGATTGCCAAGACACTGCATTGTGAAATCCAAATGAAATACAAGGAAGAATAATTTGAAGAGAAAGTAAAATGGGTAAGATTAAGACAAGATCTTTGTAAGAGGTGTATGTTACAGATAATGTTGGGAACCCAGTGAGGTCTAGGAGAATAGTTCATCATAGGTATGGGTCACCGTCACTACAGCATGCTTGAAAACACGACTCAGGAACCAATACTCAACCAGAGACAGATCACTCTAGGAAGCATATATTTTACAAAGTGTTACATGTAGTCAATAATTTTTAAAACACCCTGAGTTTTAACGCATCTGGTCTAGAACTCTTTTAGAACTCTAGAACCCCTCAAGACTCAGGGATGTCTGCAGAAGAGGACACTGAAGGACTGTAAGAGTCAGAGATGGTGGATGACTCCTGGGCAACAGTATCTTCCAGATACAACAGGACTAATATACATATGGACTCACAGAGACTGTGACAGCATGCACAAGACTTGAGCAGATTCAAACAAAGCAAAATCCCAACACTGAGAAGGGAAAGAGGACACAGTTACACCTCTAACCAAGACTCTAATTGCAATTAACACCTACCTTCTTGCAGGAAACCACTTCTACACTGCAGTGTCAATAGTCACTGGGTTTAACAACTACACTCTAGGGCAAGCACCTCTCATAAGAGGAGTTGGTCAGCACAAAACACACTCCACATTTCTTTGTGCACTGTTTTACATCTTCTTCCATCCTTTCTTCCTTCTTTCCTTTCTTTTTTGTTATAATTGGTTTATTTGCTTTAATTTTTATTGTTTATTTCTTTTTTGCTTTTTTTTAAAGAGAGAGGACTTGCAGTTGGGTGGGTAGGAGGGGAAAGGATCTGGGAGGAGTTGGGGTACAGTAAAGAATATGATCAAGATACATTAGATGACAAAAAATTAAAGTTAAAAGGTAGTTTTAAAAAACTGATGTTCATGCTTTCTAAAGGAAAGAATACTCTATATTGATCTCTGGATTGAAGTTCATTAAAAACCCTACATTTTCATTTCCAACAATCCTCATGAAACTGACTTGAGTAAATATGAGTAGGCTGTAAAGCTGCCAAATTGCATATTATGTGACTCATATTAGAATTGATTATTTCTTATATTTTTATGAGTTCATAAATTTCTTTTGTTGCTGTAATTTGGGACTCATTCTAGCAAAGTTGCACCTTTCTTGTATTTACAATTTTGGCAGGACAGCTTGATACTGAGGAAGAAGAAAGAATTTAAAATCTTAGCTACAGAAGAAACATTTTTGATAAATATAAAATTGAGATGCTGAAAACAGTCAGATTTTAATGACCAAGTTTACCTGCTACTGTGTGTGAAAAATTCAAGTATGGATAGTTACTACATAGCTGAAAGTTTTGTAGTAGCCCTGAAGACCATTTCTGCTAATAAGTTACTAGGAATAACCAGTGTCAGTTCCACACTATTTTCAGACTTAAATCTAGAATGCCAACGGCTAGGAGAGTCTGTGGCTCTATTTTCTGTATTAATTTCTTTTGGTATAGAGCTTATCCAATGATTCTTGGTGCAGTCATATTTATTATCATGTGTAAGAGACTGAGCAGCAACAATGACTGTCATAATTGGATATGCAGGAATTTTTCCTTTACATTCTCAGTGATTGAAGTGAATATTTATTGATGTGTTTTACTTCTGCACTAGCCCTTCCTCTGTATCCGACAAGAAAAAGTCAGACCTACCCTGGTAACTTCACATACCAACACTTATTTCATGACCTGTGGTTTTCTTCATTAGAGTTCACTGAATGTCAGCTATGATCTTAGCATTGTTGGTTGCCAAGGATATACATTAAACAAGGCAGATCTGGCTGATGCAATCCTTAAGTTTATTTTGTTCAGGACAATACAAAGGCTAGAGAAATAACTCCTGGTATATATTTTAGAATACTGCTTCTATGGATTTTTGGAGTGAACCTGAATTATCTGTATAATGTTTTCAGTGAACAGAGCATAGGTGGCACTAACCTCTTCCATAATCATTACAAAATATTAAAATATTTGCTAACGAAGTAGATTTAAAAGGCTGTACTGATTGATCTAAGAAAGTTGTCTTTTCAGGAATGCCCACCCCCAAAACTAGACATGAGAATATAGGTACATCCCATACCAGTTTTGCCCAATTAAATATGTGCATATTTGATAAGTAAGTAAACTATCACAACTCTATACATGAAGTTTTAAATTTATAAAGACATTTTAGTAATATATTTACTAAAGGAAACTGTTTTCAGAGCTGTTTTCATATATTTCTTTATGTGTACACACACACAGAGACACACATGCACACACACACACACACACACACACACACGCAATTTATCAAACATCTCAAAAATCAACTTGTGCAATTAGGAAAGTCTTTGAAAACCACAGTTGCTAATTTCACTAGCAATAGAATTCCTATATTCTTGCTTCCCTTTTGATGCCATCTTCTTCTCCTACTGTGCAAACTTGGCCCCATTTGTGCCCAGAAGTTGACCCCTCATCATAGCACATCAGTGTCAGTACAAGGATAATAATGTCTAATGATTTCACTCCAATTTGATGCCTTTTTTTTTCAAATAGCTGCTTGGTTCACACACTACCAGCTTTTCCTCCAGGTCATAATTTTAACCTTATTAATTAAAGCCAGTGTGATGACAAATGACCTTGTTGTATATCTGTGTACTTTTGTCACAAATCAGAAAGTATACATACAGCCAAGTGTTCATTTAACTATATCTAGAATTCAGATTAAAATTCTCAGTTCAGTGGCATTGAATAAAATACCAAGGATTAATTCATCTGACACGCAAAAGGCATTTAATAGAGCATTTTCTTATCACAAGACAAATTTATCATTCCAATAGTAACACTGACTTTAACTGAAGACACAGATACTCCTAACTTCTAGCTAATGGAGAATGAAGCACTCTGTCTAATTCTTTAATAGACAAAAGATAGAGCATAGGATATGAGGCTTTCCAAATGGTTGGGTAAGGAGGTTGATATAATAAAAATAAAGCTGTGTGGTGGTAACAAACACCTTTAATCCCAACACTTGAGAGAGAAAGACAGGTGTAGCTCTGTGAGTGTGAGGCCAGCCTGGTCTACAGAGCTAGTTCTATGACAGCCAAGGCTACACAAAGAAACCCTGTCTGGGGGGGAAGAGTATTTCTTTCCTTAAGTGGTTATATTATCTGAACATTCAATAGCCATTTACTCCTTCTTTATTAAATTACCAGACACCATAGAGTCCTACTGCAGATGAGTTGCATTACAAATAACTAAAAATCATTTTGTTTGTTTTATGAAATGTTTTCTTTAAAATCCTCTACACTTTTATGCATCTGTCACTGCTGTGTAACAAGAAGAGTTGTGGAGAGAACAGACTTGGAAATGTCCAGATTCATCCACAAACTGACTGCATTGCAAAGCATTGACGATCCTTGGTCTCAATTTTCCCACCAGCAAAAGGTAGATCTGCAAACACAGACTGCTAAAAGTCTCATCTTTCTAAATCTTTAAGCCTGTAATAAATACTGTAGCCTACTGATTTCCAGTGCCTCATTAGATAGTTAGGAACAAGACCCCTGTAATAACCCCACAGACTTTTATTTTATATTCAATGGCAATTTATTTCATCTGAAATTAAGTTTTCTTTTCACCCAGCTTTAAAGTTGTTCTCAGTTCATTTCCTGTTTACAGATTCTGTACTAACTTGCATTCTTTATTCTCTATGATACCATTCCTTCATATTTACTCCTCTGGCACCATAGTCATTTACTATTCCCAATGGAGAAGCACCATGAAGATGAAAGATTTTTATCATTTGTTATTAGCATGTTCTGGAAAACTCCCACAAAAATTAATGAATGGATGAAGGAATTTTTGAAATATTTGCTAAGTTTATATTAAAAATTGAAGTCTATTCCTATTGGAATAAGGACTCTTCAACTTCTGCTAAATTATTATAATGAGAAATTAGAACTATTAAATTATAGCAAAAAGAAGCTTCATTATCAAACACTTTATTCCCATCTCTAGATTCATTTCCCAGTTCTTCTAGTCTCTGGTTGTTTCTGTTATCACCATTGGTTTTGTTTTGCATTTTCCTTTGTATTTGTGGCACGAGGGACTGGATCCAAACCATCCCTATGAGAAGCCCAACCTCTACAGCTGAGCTAGCCCAGCCCTCCACATCTATTAGAATACTCTGAAGTTATAGAGACTCCATGTGAGAGATTAAAACTAAAACAGTTCTAGTCTAACAGTCAACTATTTTGTCTGCCTATCTAATTTCTGTTGTTAACAAATTGTCTTTTTTCCACTGTAATTGTGTTCCATTTGCGTAGTCTGTAAATTGAAAGGATCTCTTAAAGTAATTCTGTGTCTTATTATTCAAAGTAACGTACCAATAATAGTTCTGAAAAACTTTTTTTTAGGTACTTCTAAAAAGTTGTATGTGCTATTCTCAAAATGAAATAATAAATTCTACATTAGTCCTGCCTTTTAAAAATGAACTGTATTCAATTTGCTACCTTTTAATTTGGGGAGGTTATCTTTTAGACTTGCAGTCACCATAAACTTTATTAACATAATAGATTTTTCTCCAAATTTATGTTTTTTTTCTTATAAAGATGTAATCATGATAAAGCAAGAATTTTGGATGTAAAAATACTAGAAAGTTTC